TGCGGTTTGATGGTTAGTGCACTATGCTATCAACCCAGTGACTTGGGTTTGATTCTCAGCCATGGATAACACCAGTGGCGATTGATATCTGCATTGGTCCTGGGCCACTTGCCCCCTATCCCCTACATTCCGCACCTCTTCACCAACCCACACTGACCAGTATGGTAAAGTGTGGTCAAACAACCGCTATGACCACATGGACTGGGGAGAGGCTTTCATCCTACAGTGGAATGACAAGGTCTGTGAATTATTAATGTTCGAATACAATGTGCTCTATAACTCGGTGTGTGTACATATACACAGAGTACTGTGAATGAGAACATTATTTGTATATTTTTATTTACTGTACTGTGTACGACCTTTATTCTGATTTTATTTTATCCTTTGGCTGTGAGATGGTTGGGAGGCGCACGGTTTTGCTTGCCAGTGTGACTGACACGTGGCCACGGTTGGCAAATACGTAAATCGCTCTCCCCCGCCTCCCCACCCCCTCCATGTGCGTGTGTCTCTCTCTCCCAGTCTGTCTTGTGCTCTTTCTCTCTGCGTCTCTTCCCGCATCCTCTGATTAGTTTCACAATGAGGGTGAAGTGGGGAACACTGTAACGGCACGATGGGTTAATTGGGCCCAAACAGGTTGAGTTTTTAATTCATGTTTTGTTTTCCTTCGGCCTCCTACCACATTGATACTATAAACTGAAATATAAATTATTGAGTAAGTAAAAATGGAAATGGCACTCCTGGCGCTGCATACCCGGGGATTGGTTGGGCTGTCGAGGCGGCTGCCAAGCGTCGGTTAAATGAAACCGAGAGGACACGGGGCGGGTGACGCAGGGCTTGCCGCGTGTAACGACATGCCAGGCGACGACAGCTCCCCAGCCCCAACGACACGCTTGTCCTTCGCTCCCCCACTGTATCGACCCACGGGGCGGCCTGGGTGTCCCCCCCCCCCCCACATTCCCTTCCACAATGCCCGCCCGCCCCACCCCCCCCAAAAACTATCCTTCCGCACACCCCCATAACCCCACCACCACCACCCAGCCTGCGTTCACTCCCCAATGCAGCTCCCCTCGGACCCCGACCCCCCACCCCCTGTTACCACTGCCCCTCCCCTCAAACTACGAGAATAAAAAGTGGTGACAGGGGGACTGTGCCAAGGAAGCAGGAGGGCACAGACGCGTTACTGAGGATTGGCTGGAGGGGCCGATGGGATGTTTATGCGAGAACGGAATGCAACAATGTGGCATTGATGTACGTCTTCATTACACCATGGCCGATACTGTTTTTATAAACCTGGATTTAATTTCACTTGCGCCAATAGAAAATTTAGAAAGCGTTGTGAGCGTTGGCTGTTTTCCTCCCTAAAGATAGCCATTTCCATGATCGCTTTCTCATTTACTGGTGGTGCAATGATGCAGATTGTGATTAATGTCATATCTATTCCATGCCACAGCAATAATTCATTTCTTAAAGTACCCACTGGCTCGCTAGAAGTGTCTTCGGAATATGATGCGCTCCTTAAAACTGATATTTTGAGATTTCAGAAAAAAATAGATGTGATTATGGTGAGCTCAAGCAAGGTCCATAAAGCGTTTTTTTGTATCTGTGCAAGGTATGAACATGCTATAGCCCTATACCCCTGTTTCAGCACACGGTAAGTACTGTATTTGAATTGTGGTCTACTGATGCAGGGGTTATAGTATCTTCATCTTCGTGAGCAGGATTGTTATTGTGCGCACCTGCTGCCTGGAAAATGTACTGTTCTCTTAGTGTCTGGGTGAGTGGGTGCTCAGGAGCAGCTTTTGAACACTTTTTTGTGGCTTTTGCAATTTTGCTCGCGGTGCGTAAGAATGCACGGCCGGCCACCTTGATCCCCAAACCGCTGAGAGGTAATTGCAGACAACTGTCCGTGGATGACTCGCAGGAGCATAACGCTTTAAGCACAGTTGGCTGCTGTCTTTCCGCTCCCCCGATAAAAAAAAATTCAGCAAGTTTACTCCCAAATTCTTGGCAGCGAATGATGCTTTAATCCTCTGTAGTCTTTTTTTTATTTCACAATCAATTTTGTGGGGCTTCCGCCAACAAGCCAGTTCACCCGTTTAGCCGGTTATTGGCTTGTTATTTCAGCGAAGAAGTGTCTGGGATAAGAGCTAGAAGTCAACGTGGTGCCGGTTAATTGCAGGGTAAACCATGTTATACTGGAAGCCAGTGCGCCCTGATCCATACGTTGCCTCTGTCCTGCTTTACACTCACCCCATCTTGCCCTGATGTTAGACTCTTTAATGAGACTCACCGAGTTGAAGTGCTCGCAATCCATCATTATTGGTCTTATTACATTTTTTTCGTCGGGTTGATGATGTCTTATAAACCCATTGGTTGGCGGCATTTACTACAATGCTGACTAACTATGGAATGCTGATGTATTATTTTTTCACTAAATTCTAAATATTCATTTCCCTATGCAACTGATTTCTAAATGCAGTATTTCTTTCAAATTAGACAATCACTGCAATGGATGCTCTCATTTGTTTTAATAAGAGATTGAGTAATTGTGTTTCTTGTCATTACAGATTTTGTAATGACACTTTCAATATGTGCCACTCCTATTTGTGAACATCAAATATGGTTTAATTCGAGTACTGTACATTGTGTTCACAGATTATCCAGTTTTATTTGAAAGTATTATATTAATGTATTACATGTGTATATTTAGTGGGCCTCTCTACTTGGCTATTATGCCCTGCTTTTGGTAGCGATTCAAATTCCTGGATGTTTCGCACCTTTGGCGTGCTGTAGTTATAAAAGCGTTTTTACTTAGGATGTTAAAATGATACAATGCAAGTAGAGTATGCTCTGTCAAATAAATAAATGCATCTATTTTGTATCTGCACATGATCAGATATCTTTTAGTCTATCGGCCTTTAACCAGCAGCATTTGTTCAATCAAGCAAACTCTGGACTGGTTCTGCCCTTCTGGAGCTCATCTTCGGTCAGGATTCTGCCTAGGTTTTTGCGGTTGCGTTCTATTGCTCTCCAATGTGTGCTCGGGTTTTACCTCGTGGCGTCTGGCATGATGTCTTGATGGTTCGCCGAACATGTTGAGAGCTTCTTCAAGGAACCGAAGCTCCCCAGCATGTGTGAGCGGAATGTCGGAAATCGTGCCGTGGGGTGAAATGTTGCCAATTGTGACCAATGACACCCGGTACAACCCACAAACATCAGTTAGGCTTACGAAACAGATATGACTACAACCAGATGTTATTCTTACATATATTGTGCGTGCCATATATTGATTTCGTGCATGTTTTTATTTGGGATTTTTATTTATTTATTCTGTAAACATTAATTATTTATGTCGGTTCAGCCGTAATAATTTTTTTGTTGACTGGCGTCTGACCGCGGGCGTCTGCCTCGTGTGGTGAATGGCTTCCTTGGTGCGCACACACATCAGTTACCGCAACAGCCTTTGGAACATGAAAACACTGGCACGCACCAGGTTCTTTCCATCGCTAAACAAACACTGAGACGAAGGCTCATAACCCGATAAGCGAGTAAGATGCACAAGCAGAGTTATCTCCAATCGTATACAACTGGACTTGCATATTTATTGTTTTGTTCGATCTCATTGTCCTCAACATATAAATAAATACATGCACATATCTACCGAAACATTGTTTCACCTGATTAGTTTTCTTTGGTTCTTTCGGTAAAGTCACGTAGAATGAGAATAAAATAATAAATTGATAAAATAAAATAACACAATAATATTCTCACGACGTTTCGGCCACAACACAAGCGGCCTTCATCAGGTGAAGAGAACGAGACTGTCTGGAGGACAGCGCTGGAGTGAGAAAGCCACGCTGAGATCACGACCTTTAAGCTGTGTGAAAAGAAACAAAGTGCCTTGACAAAGGAATTAGCATATAATTTAGCATTGAAATGGCTGAGTGATTAGCTTGTGACTGGTCATGGAAAAGGCTATGTTAAAGTTGAAGCATACACATCCGCAAAGGCACCCCTTGACAGTGTCTGTTTTGTTGAATACCAAGACCGCATTTACAGTAGTGTACACAGTTGATACATACAGACACTTAACACCCACAAAACGTCGCCAGCAAACACTAAAAGGGTCCGTAACGTTCGCTATCAAATGCAGAAAATTATGTAACAAACGAAACAAGTGTTGTTCTGTGGCTGAGCATGAAATAGTGCATTCCTCTTTCTTGGCAGTAGTTTTACTAAGCTTGACGGATCTTAGGAAACCACTGTTTGCAGAGTTTTATTTCATTCCTATTCTGTATGCAACTCCCAATAGGCTTGGCAAGAAACGTCCAACAGTTCTATCGCACTCAGTTTTAGTAAAGCGCAAGTCCAATTTTTTCTGGCCCCATTTTGTTGATCTAATCCGTCTTCTTTCGAGGCATGGGTTTGTCATGCTCAAAGCTACCGGAGGGAGCTCAGTCTAGGTTACTGTGTTGCAATACTCGTGCTGATAAAAAAAACGCCTCCGCACTACGAGATGTGTTTATTTCGATGGGCTTAAGGCTTTGAGCCGGGGAGTACCTCTTGCAGAGCAACCGGGTGGTCTGGTGCTTATGAGAGACAAAAAAATTGGCCACCGTTAAGTGTCCCAGGTGCATTGTCAGCGATTGCATTGACCTCGAGTGGGCAGGTGGAAAATATCTGCAAGATTCTTAACAGGAGTAGGCCATTCTATGTTACGGTGATGACACGAAAACAAAATGTTCCTGCAGTTTTCAAGTATCCCACAAGGGGGAATTTCATTCTCATTAATAGTCAGTTTATGACCTTACGGAGCTACTGTGTCTAAGGGGTAATTGGGGAAAAAGCAATCGTAGCAGTTAGTACGGCTGGGTTGAATACAGCCTGCTGCTATATTGACCAATTCTGTATTATTGCTAAAAGGTTAAAAAGTAAAGCAAGAGGCTCGCTCTGTGGTGTTACTCTCACGTAACGTGACCGTATCATGCTTTTGTTTTCAGGCGGAGGAGGAGTTGCGCAGGAACCGTCTGATGAGGGACATGGCTCAGCTTCGGCTGGAGGTAACGCCATCACTGGAAGCACTGCACACACACACACACAGCTCCAGAATCACGCGGAGGGCACCATAGAGCACTAATGGAGTAAATTCTCACCTCTCGCCACATTTTTATATATTCGATTGCTCTACATTATTTAAATGTGCAACGATTTAATATATTTATATGTTTCTGTCATCAAAAGCCACGATTGTCATGATCAATCCACTGCTTTACGAGGATCCCTCTCCAGGCCGTTGCCACCCCTGACATGCAGGTGCTCAGTGGATTATTACATTGTAGCATCATGAGAGGCAGGGGACTGACCACAGCTGATGATGATTAGCGGTGGGGGGGGGAGGAGGGGCGCGCGTGGTGGTGGGGTCAGATGAACTGTTGCATTCTATATTACCTATTTTCAGCCGGGTTTGTGCCGAAAGCAAACCCTACGGGTAGATTTTTCCCAATAATGTTGCGGCAATAACTCGGGCTGGCTCACGCATGGGATGATGTCGCTGCTGCTGCCGCTCACCTTGCTGCCCTCGTCATATCTCTGCTGCACGTGAGCTGAACCTGAACCAGAGATCTCAATGGGCAATTCACGAGGATTATTCCTGCTTATTTGGCCGTGTGAAATAACATCTAAACATCCCGGCATTAGCCGGGAATCCAACATTCCAGTGTCTGCCCGACTCCCTGATGTTCTCCTTTTGTTGCGATGTCAGGAGGACCTGGCAAAACATTTTAAAGATTTCACGGTATTGTCAAGTGCTTTACTTTGCTGTGAAAAAAGCACTGCTGCTGCCAGAGATTATTAACAAGTGTTGTTTTTTGCTTGATATTCCAGTGCTGTTTTAAAGTGGTGATTTTTTTAAAATGTTCTTGCTGGTTTTGTGTATTGAGGCTTTCTTTACTGTATTAAAATCTAATGGACTCTCCAAGTTTTATAAAGTGAAAGGTTATGAATTTGTGAAGTCAGTGCAGAACTGTTGTATTGAAATGTTATAGAATTCGGTGGACTTTATTATAAATATTGCTGCCACACAGCATTGGAAAATACAAACTCAAAAATGGTGTAACTTGGATAGTATGCTATTAATCATGAACATAAAATAGCGCGTAACTATGTGTCCTCGTTTTATTTTCGGTTAACAGTTTTACTGCCATGGTTACTAAAGGGACCCATTCCAATTTAATTTATAACACCGTTATCAGTAATTTAACATAAGAAAATATAACATTGGTTCAAATTACATGCAGTTTGAAACACGCCAATACATGTATTGTTCAAAACAAGTCAGACGTATATTACGTGCAATTGACGTCAATACAAAACACTGCATGCTTCAAATAAATGCATTGTGCGTGGTCGTGAAATAGGCTATGATGAGGGCAGTGCCTTTACACTGTGTCAAGAGTGTTTGTCAATGGGCTAAAAAATATCGATGTTGTGGCCCCGCTTTTAAAAGCTTCCTCGCAGGGGGTGCGGAGCAAAAAATGTCTCTTCAGTATAGTACACTTTATTGCGTTCGTGAGTCACTTTCCCGCCGCACTTCCTCGCAAAAACATCCTTAATCTTCTAGTCTCCCTGTAGTAGGATCACCATTTTTTTACCACGCCGCTCTTCCTTTTTTGAATTTTATTGGCACAGGCAGTCCGTGTGTATGTGCCAGTGTGCGCGTGCCTCTATGTATGCGTGTGGCCCAGAGGGGGCGATGCTGGTAGCGTGGAAAGACGCTGGCCGCCTTAGGCTCCGCATGCTTGAGCATGAAAGCGTTTTACGTGGGCGTATCACGATAACTTGGATTGAGCGGCTGGAACAGCAGGAAGCCAAATTACATGCTGGACTTGACTCAACTTTTGGTTTTTCTTCACCATGAATGGCTATCAGATGGCCGCTCGTACCCCATGCCTAAATGCCCAGCCTCCTGGTGGAAATGTCACGGTTACAGTAGAACGATAGTTAAATAGCAAATGACTTAATAGTGGATCCCGTGAATGTTACCATATGAAAGCCCCGCTGTTAATGTTTTGTTTCGAAGATATTTCTCTGTGTGGTGTGTCATGATCGTCGTGTGCAAGTGCTTTTGGCTTTTCGTGTTGTGGACTGATTAAGCTAAAGGTTGGGGCACTTGCTGCTGAGACCGTTTGGTATCAGCCCCTCAAAACCCTATGAAAACTTGTTTGTGATTGGTGTGGTCATGCATCCAAACGCTATCCAGGCATTTTGGGTGATTTGTTTATTGCCATTATTTAGGATTAGTGATGCTTGAAATGTACAGTATTACAATATTTTATTACAATAATTTTCCTGGTAGAAGCATGAAGGTACTGCAAGTTGTGCTTTGTAGGCTGGGAGTGGGATTGGCAAGATTGTGCTCATTGCTCTTAGTACTTTGGTTGTCAAGGATTAGCGTGTGCACACACAGGTCAATTCGCACCTGCCCGATCAATGCCACATAGTATTTTGTATGTACGTGTGTGTCGACATAATCCCATTCCAGTGGCATTTTGTTACATTATGGCAATTTGCCTTAATCTGAAATACTTTTGTAATTAACAAAGGGAAAAAAAATTCACTCATTTTTGCTTTGTATACTCAGTGTGTGCGTGTGTGTGTAAAGATATTTGCCAATATCTAACCCTAGTCTGGGACTCCTTTGGTTGATTTCGCTTAAGTACCTGGAGCAGTGTCGAAACAAGTATTATGAAGACTGCTACGGCTGACATCACAACGGTCTCCTGTGAGCCCTCGGTGGCAGGCTCGCTGTCTGACCACTGCGGTTGTTTCGCGCTGTGTGGGCCGCATGCGCCGCGAGCAGGAGGAGGTGCGCGAGCTGGAGGGCAGCCTGCGTTCCCCGGGCACTTCCGCCTCGCTCTCGCCGTACCTGGTCCCTGACGCAGGTGCGTTGAGCCAGCACCTCCAGCTGGTGCGGCAGTTGGCTGCCAGCGCACGCTTCATTCTGCTCATCCCCCGTGCAGGTGAGACGAAGTGGTGGCACCAGTCTTCCCTTTACATGTGCAGGTTTTTTTTTTTTTTTACGTTCCGTATGCTTGGAGGAGTCCAGACTCTGTTTAGATTGTGTTCGTTACGGTGCGAGAGGTGGCGGATTGGTTCGGTGGGGCTTATGCTGCTTGTGTCAAAGCGTTGAACCAGCACCTCTTGAGATCACGGGTTAAAATCAGGTGAGTCATTTGAGAGGGTGAAACAGCTGCTCAAGTTCTCCTGTGTGTTTTTTGGATTGTACCATGTGTAGTTTGGTATAACGTGTAATGTTTCGCTCCACTTGCTGGGAGCGAAACGTTGGACATCATGCCAAACAACATGCGGTACAATCTTAAAACATATCAGAGAGCTATCCAGCATGATTTGCGAAAGTCCATTAATTGGTTCTTAAGTGTAGCAATTTGGTGGTCTCTCAGCACGATCACCAGAAAGCCTTTATATAAGTTTGAGTTTTCACTTATTTGGGTCTTGCCAGATCTAAGAGATGTAATTTTTAAATTGGTATTTCATGTGATTGTCATGCAGCGAAACACACTCACTGCACAGAACAAAAAGTGATGTGGTTGTGGTAAGGAAGTCCTGTTAAAGTGATGCCGGAAGTATTCTGTGGTGTTATCTCAGGGTCATTATACAGAAGGCATTGGAGGGCATCGGGAAGGATGTTGAAGCATGTCTCACATTGATTACAGTAGCACACTTGAGGAATAATAATCGATATTACAAAATTAAACATGTTTTTAGTTTGTTTTTGTTTTACTGTGCGTATTTAGAAGCACCCAGATCCTGTTTACGGGCAAAATTAACACAGGATATTTTTGAAAATAGTTTGTTTACTTGGGCAATTTATATCGTCTGTTTGGAAGCACCAGTCTTGTTTATCCTGTACCATTCGTAAAAGGTGTTGGAAGAGCCAAGGTTCTATTTACCTTGGCTGCTTATTCAGGGTGATCCAGTTGCATGCACATACACACACACCTGCCCAATCTTGGCAAACGTCCTGCCCATGTAATCATCTTTATGCTCACGTGAGGCAATACTCAATACCCATGTGTGTAGTCACATGGGCGTATTACCACCTGCACACACACACACCTCCTAAATCTCGTAAAGCCCTTCTTCCCAAAAAAATTACATTGTCGAGTAACATGCATTCCAGGTGCAGTAATTTTGAGATCATTCGATCAATGGAAATCCTCTAAGGTGGCGAAGGTAAACATTTGGAAATATCTTACCTAACATTAGCTCAGCCGTTTGTGTAAATATTTTTCACATTATGTTTCAAGTCTGTCAATAATTGATGTGTTTTTAATTCCAGGTTGCCAAAAGCAGTTTGTGTAGGTTACTGTGGTTTTCTTAAGGTGGGGTTTGGAAGCTAGAAGCCACTACCCATTACTTGTGGCTTTAAGGTATTTAGCTTTGAGACTGACACATCCTCAGTGGCTGCCAAAAAAAAGACTTAATGTGGTCATAGCAATCATCTGCCCGCGGCTTGTCCTGCTTACTGCATAAGATGAGACAGGAGTTTTTTTACTCACACCAACCATGCCGTTGCTGCTGTAGCATTTTGCGCCGATACTAAACTAAATCTGAATAAAAATGTGTGTGTGTGTGAGAAGAGACTTGTTGGGGAATTTGAAGTTACTCACGCTTAAGTGATGATTCTTGGATGCTTGAATGAGTATAAATAGCACAACTGCGAGCATATATGTGTTTGTGTGTGTCCATCCACGCGTGACTGCATACGTGCGTGAGTGCGTGTGTGGTGGTGGCAGTCTGTACAAGTCTGAAAGCTGAGTAGGGGCTTGCCCCGCTTGAAAAAACATGTATAGCTGTAATCATAAAGAGAGAATGCTGTAAGATAAGCTGTTTGAAAACCATCACCACACTTTTATTGAAAAGCATTCATAGGACTGAAAACATGTTCCTTTTGGTACTTAACTCTAGCGTGCTACAACGTGAGATAGATTGATGCACACGTATAATGTGGTCAAACATGTTTTAACTAGATTTCACGTGCCACATACATTTACATGCCATCTGCAATTGTATATACATTTTTAGTACCATTGTTGACCTTTTCAGGCTGACTTGATATTTAAAAGAACCATTTATGGTCAAGCATTTATGTATGTCACACATATCATGTAAATGTACAGCCTTTTGTAAGTCTGGTGTTTTTTTACCAAGTACACTCCACACTGTGTCCGTCATGAAGGTCTGTTTACCAGACGTCACCACGCTGGTCAGTGAGGGTGGGTGACAGGTAGGTGGCGTGGGGGGTGGTGCAAAGACCACTTCAGATCTTTGGTCACTAATTTTGGCCTTGGCTGGGAATCGAATTTAGGTTGCTAGGTTCACACCCCGAAGCGTTTTCCACTGCGCCACCACTCCTCCACCTGCACATACCATATTCACCCATAATATATTCACGAGTACAAAGAGTACATATATTGATTTGCATATTTCTACAGACACGCACAGTGATGCGCATGATTGCCAAGACTCCTGGAACAAAAACCCCAAAATTAATGTCACCGAGTCAGTTTCACAAATAAGGGAACAATACAAGTAAAATGGGCAGACCAAGATGCCCACAGCACACACGCTTCCGTGCATAGCATCCCTGTGCTTTTAAACCCTTGGCCTGCCACACGCACCAGTGACACTGTCTAGCCCACAAGCACGCGCGTGTGTGTGTGTGTGTGTCTTTGTGGTTTTTCGCCCCCATTCTTTATCACACCTTTTTTTGCATGTGCGTGTCTCTCTCTTGCTCACTCTTGCTCTCCCACCAAGACCAGCATCTACCGTGGGGTTGGCATGCGTAACTGTGTCCCTTGATGTGTTTAGCCTGGCTGCAACCCCCGCTTCTAATGGGCTGCCTGCCAGCGGTGAGGACTAGGCAGGACACAGCTTGCCACCACTACATGGCTTTTTTTTGCCACCCTTCACTCCACCCTCTGCTAACTGCCGTGATGCGGGCATTTTCCTCCTGGCCCTATCACAACATCTACCCCCCATGCCCGAAGAGCAGAGAACTGGCGTTTGCTTGCAAGGGTATTTTTGGGGTTTTATTCATTGGCGTGGTTGGACAGCGGTTTAAATGCGTAACCATTAAAAATGTTGACAATTATGAAAGCACTTGTCACCACGTGCTCTTTTGTGCATGCTTTGGTAGGGTGAGTACGGACGACTGGAATTGGACTGTGATGAAAACTGCTGTATTAATCAGGTCACAAGATAGTTTCTCATGATTTTTCTCATTTAGACGACTACTGGAAACGATTTAATTTTTACGGAGGCATTTTATTACCAAGTCTTCACAAATAACCGTGTATTTGTTTAAACCCAACCATGGTGTGATGGTATCACTTAATGTGTAAACATAGTGCCGTTTAAAAAATATTTAGATTTTTAAATACCCATATTTGTACATTGGTGCACAAGGGGTGAAATTATATACTTCCCCCCCTGTATTGCGATTCAAAGTTAAAATTAAATAATTGATTTGTTTTTCTACTTTCAATGTAGTAGCCTACAATGGATGCAGGACTCACTTAGAGTTTAACAGCATTGGTTCTTGCACATGATTCAGTACATTATCGTGAGCTTAAAAAGGTATAATTTGGTGAATGACAGCATAGTTCTACCCCTGCCATGTACATCTGGCAAGGGCACTGTTGGAGTATCATGATATTTGTTGTAGACTCATTGTTTAATTATTTTCCAAGCCATGTAAATGCTTTGGACACAAGTCATACACTGTGGTACATATTATCTGCTGCGTTTTAAGCACTGCTGAATGAAGGCCTCCCCATGTCGTCACCATGTCTCACGATCCATTTCGCTCTTGCTAATTAATTTATTTCATCACTCCATCTGTGCAATAGATGCCCTCTTGGCCATGGTGCGTCCTTTGGCTGCCACTCCATCGATAGCCGTCAGCACATCTTAGATTGTTAATACATTCACCATTTGCCTTTGCGCCTTTGTTTCTCAAATCCACTTTTCAGAAAATATCTTAAATTGTGGCTATGAATAGCCTTGTTTGAGAGCATATCTCTCTGCCTAACTCACTTCTCATTTGTAAATGTATTACTTTATCCATGCGATGTCAGTGTATTTCCGGCTTTGTAAATGGTTTTGATAATTTCTATATATATTTTATTCAGGTCTTGGTTTGAGAGGTTGGATGACTTAATCAGTTCCACTGAACCAAACGCCTTTTCAGAGTCCACAAAACGTGACAATGGTATTTTATATTACTTTGTGCTGTATATAATCTTTTTGATATAATGTGGTAAAAAAACATCAACAACTAGCTTGCTGTCTTGGTGAGCTGGCCTGTAAATTATCCATTATTCACTTTTCTTTGATTTTTGTGAACAGTTTATATGTGCGATAAGAGGCTAATGGGTATAATTCTTCAAATCAGTTTTGTCTCCCCTATTCAGTCGGGAAATAAAGAATGATTGCGGTCCATATTGGCAGACAGAAAAATCATTTTACACTCTGGTGCATTGCGTTTTGTGTTCTCGTATTCCCCTGTTTCAAAATATAACCTTCAGAATGATGCCTTGTGAAAAAGAAGTGGTCACTTACCTCTTCGCAGTGTTTTTTATACCTTTATTTTTGATATGCACATGGGAATATGCATGTGAAGTACAGGTCTTGCGAATTTCTTCACAGGGTACTCAATTTATTTTTCACTTAAATCTTCCACCTCGCCTCCTTCCTCCCTCCCACCTCCAAACTATCCATTACAGCACCCATACCAAAGCTTATTATTTTCAATCCACAATTACTCTCTAGAAAGCCCACCAACAGTCTCCTTTGGCATAGTCATAAATGTAGTTCAAATGAAAGTGAATCCTCGGCATATAAAATCTAAATTCTCCTGCTAAATCTTTAGTTTTCTTTTGAGGTTAATTATGTACACCTTATGTTAATGCTTAAAAATTCGGGGAGGTTGGGAAGGGGTTCTGGCTGATCAAAGTGTCCGTGTTTCTACATGTCCGTGCAACTATCAATCTAAGTATATTTGTAAGTAAATTCCTATATTTTGAGAGCCTGTTAAGCTATTGTACATGTATCCCATTCAATGAATACCTGGATTGCCATGCAAGCGCTGTGTATCATGTCTTTGTTATCCTTTTACAATGTAGTTATTTATCCTCGAGTAATTTACTTCCAGGTAATTTTTGTTAAATGCTTATGATGTCAATAAGTGATTACTTACATTTTGTGAATTATTTAGCATTCTCTTTAATGTCTCCACTGATGGTATTACCCAAGCACACTTGAGTAATGCCAAATTGCTTGCTGTGCAAGTTGGGAATGAGAGCAGGATGGCGGAGCATGCTCGACTATTCTATTTATAGGCCTTTCAAAGCCAGCAGGATTGTAATCACCAATCTAAGGGACAGACTAATTATGATCATCCCCTTCACTTATACGCACATCACCCTATCACTGTATTTTCTGTCCCAGAGCTGACAATTTAAATCATTGTGTTTTTATTCTTACACATGCAATTCTATGTGTGTTTTGATATTATTCCATGAACCCATCCATCTTTGCACCTCTGGTGACATATATTATGCTGAATCATCTTGAAATAAGATGTAGGCTGGTACATGACGCCAGATAGCGCCGGTTTGTGTCCTGCTGTCAAGAACAATTAAGCCGTCAACTGCACGATAACCGGTCCAGGACGAAATGTGCTAACTACTAGCAGCCTATTTTAACATGGAAAATATTGCATATATGTATGAACTTGAAGGTGTATTGTTATTTTATTCATATTCAAATGAGCAGACAATGAGGCATAGCTCATTAGGGGATCTTGGGAACAACATTTTGGGAGAAAGACATGTTTGCGTATATAATTTAAATGACAATCTGTTGGGAATTTTTTGAAGTTAGTCATTTCTGTGTTTGTTTTTCAAAACAATCTTAATTTGTCTGCTTCTCTAACAAGGAGTGAAGTTATTCATGGTATGTCTTTGTGAGGCGAATTATATATGACTGCTGCCTATTCACACTGCGCTATAAATACGACGTTTAAACTTGGTTGCACGCACTGGGGAAACTTTCATACACAGTAGTGCGATACTCCATGTTGATCACGTGCAAGTGACAAAAAGTGAAATGTGGCAGTTAAATATGGACAAAAGACTTCAACTGAAAAAGTTAAGTGTATCAAAGCTCAAATGAACATTGATCATATCTATTGGCAATCATGAGCTCATTGATGGAAAATTCATGGGACCAATCTTTCCACAGGAAAAACGCAATCGATTTCTCAGCAAGTGATGTAACCACACCAGGTGGTGTTGATCTTACCGATGCCAGTTGGTTTGTGGGTCGAATTGACCTTGTGTGGGAATTGAACTTGGGCATGGGCAGCCAGCTGTGCTGCAAAATGAGCTACAATCGCGGGTGTTTTAACGAGACAAGTAATAAGAATAGAGCAAATGCTGCAGAATAAGACCATTCTGTAACTGAGCTGTTTTTCCTCACAGCAATGTAATATCGAACAACTTGATTGATTGCGATGACATACAATAAACCACAGATGATTTTATATTTCTAATTAAACCTGGGAAATAGCTTTGGGCAAAAATGTCATTGGCAAAAGAAGAAGAAGAACAGAATTTGCCTCAAGAGACCGGGTGTGTCCGTGTATCTTAGTAAATAATGTTATATATAAAATGACGTTCATCACACGGCCACAAACCTCTGCAAATGAAGCCTGTCAATGATTATAAAAAAATAAATATTTTTTTATCCTTCCTGCGGTTTTTGCGGTTTTTAGTGTTTTCCCAGGATCTGGGCCACTCTGGCGGAATGAAATTAAAACCGCGGCCGCTTGCCCCACCTGGCAGTACGTCAGTGCTAATCCCCAGGATGAAACACAATCGCTATCAATTTTTTTTGTCTTTCATTTTATTAACGCCTATAACCTCCACCTACCCGCCAACCCACACCCTCTCTCCCTCCCTCTTAACAGATTTTTTTCACTCACAGCTTGGCTGGCTAGAGTGGTGCGGTTTGCGGATTAAGGGCACACAGTTAGCAATTAGGGGTAGACTTGATTGCATGTGAATTTTGTTCTGGTACAGTTATTACTAACCATTTACGGAAACTGGCTGGGCATGAGTATCTCACAGTGCTTTTGTCCGCAGAGTTCCTGAGTTTGTGTTGGTAGGAAAAGGTGAGGTAATGCACTTCGAATAATCGCTAAACGGTGGCAAAAATTTAAGTAACCCGTTGCTTATGCAACCGACCGACACTTTGTAATTTGAAGTGTATTTCCCATTAGATGACATGATATAACGCTCATTTAGTGGTATTGCGACAATGAGTGTAATTGCGGTGCCTTATGTTAACTGTTTTCACACAAAGCCTCGGTGGCAGGTAGAGGTCTCGTAAAGACACGTGCGATCTTGTCAAACCTCCCGTGTACAGCTGCCACGCTGGCTGCCACACTCTCCGTGTTGTTGATGTCACCTTCTTTGTTCTTGCCATTGTCATTCTATCTGCAGGGTAATTAAAATAAAAAAGTGGATATACACATTTTTGATTCCGTCAAAAACAAAACCCACTTTGTTTGGTGAATGGTTGTATGTTAGCAGATGCTGGCTGAGCATGTTGCTCACTGGTGATTGATGCGGCTGCATTGCCCGCTAGCAAAACGTTTATGCGTGCATCCTGCAGTGATCGATGGGTTGGACGTGATGAAGAAGGACGAGGCAACCGCCAGGGATGCCATCCGCTTCCTGGAGGGAGAATTCAAGAAAGGAAGCCGGCAAGATATTTGAATTTCTGTCTTTCTGGTGTTTTCTTGCCCTTTTGTTGCCCACTTCTCAATGTCCCCGTTAACCCACGTCTTTGTTTTTAACAACAAAAATGTACTGCACTTTGTGTTGTTGTTTTGTAATTTCACGATTTTATATGCATTTTTTATACATTTGTGTGCATGTCAAATGTACATATTAATATATGTGTAATTATATACGTAATAATAACGCACACATTGTAAAGTACACATAATTAAATAGCTATGTAGCTGTATTAATCTAAGTTCGGATGTTCTCCCATCCTCCCCTGCCAGTCACAATAGATTACAGATGTCACAGTAATAGGGTTCCTTTTGTTACCTTCTTAATAATAGATAGTAATTACTCATTCTGCTTAAATGGAGTAAATAAATAACCCTGAATAAAACAAGGGTGGGGTTGTATTGCGTAACTGAGCTTGCCTTGATGTAATTCAACAACCCTTAATATCCTAATTTGCCCTTTCGCTAGGTGTATCTGTGTGCCAATTCACAAAGAATCATAATGAACAGCAGCGCTCTTCACGTGCACAGCGTAATCTGTACAGAGCTGTCATTTAATTTCTCAATTGTAGTTTACCGTTCTGCGTGCTGTAATTTCTGCATACTAATAGCGTTGCGGCCGGTTGAGCTAATTAATTGGGTTCTGTTGAAGTTTAAGAGGCTTACAAGAAAATCAGCAATCTGAAAGCTAATTGTTCTCTGGCATTCAGTCACGCTTTGCCTTGTGGATGGTTTAGTGATGTGGAGTGGGGGGGAGTGGAGGTGGGGTGCGGGGAAGATGATGGATGAGGATTCGTGAGACACAGCTGGAGGCATTGCAGAGAAAACGCCCAGAATGCCTCTAATGGGAGGACTGGAGCCGAACATAATGACAATGTGCTGGTAACTCCTTTGAGACGTGCAAGTGCATCATTAGCCGGATCAAAGATGGATGCGTGATCTGGGCTACCGTACTGCTGTACCAGGCTTTCCTTGCGGTCGATTTACTTATTAGTTTAATTTTTGCTTTTATCCAGTTTGAATTTGGAAGGGTGACGTGGATCGTCATTGTTCCAGGCTTGCACTGTGCACTCTTTGCATATAATTTATAATCTCTTGCCGCAAATGCTGACGACGGGACATCAAATTCGACATGTGCTCCGAAATTCCAATGCACAATGTGGGCTTGCCTTAGCATAAAAAAACAATGTTTTGAATTGAAACACCATCATATATTCTTATCGGTAGCTTGAGCACACATTTTTTTCCATGTGTACAAACGAAATATTTGCGTGAGCTTGCCTGTCTGCCTGCCGACTCTAGGTATATTCGGTGCCAGCGTGAATCTGGAAAGGTCCCAGATCGACACCGGCTCAAGAGACAAGACCCCGAGGCCTGGTAAATAAAACACACCTGCTGGTTTTCAAACTGACCTGCAAATGCAGAGTTTAATAGTGCACACTGCGCTCATGCTAGGAATAGTACCCATAGTCCTCACCTTCACCCGTCTTACTTTCCTGCTAAACTGCTCACCTGTGCACCCCAGCCCAAACCGTGGAGACCTGCTGCCTGTCGGCACAATGCTACTGGGGGAAGTAGGCTACAACTTCTGTGCCTGTTCTGTTGTTGGGAGGATTGCCTTTCCTGTTGGGGTCAGTGGGTTTTTGTTTTAGTGAGGTTTTTACATTCTCATTTCATTAACTCTTTTTAGAACTGCATTTTGTGTTTTGTTTGTTATCCTTCCCCAAACGTTGGATTAGCACCATTGGCTACATATGGTGCGAAAGAAGTTCAACATAATACATACATTCTGTAATCTTTATTCCTTCTTAGCTTGTGGATAATGATGATAGCAGGGGATAATAGTATGCTCTTGTGTTATCATGTTTCTTCACTCGTTGGAGCTTCAAGTTTCTAATCTCCGTGAAAGTGGTTTTTACCAAAGCTTTCATTGTTTTTATATCATTAAACAAGAGATGGACAAGGTGGGGAGTGTGTCAAAGGTGATTAGTCAGGTAAAAAAAAACATGTGTTATGTTTATAACTCAGGAACAAAACTTATTTTCATTTGGTTTGTCACTGGACTTCAAAGCATTTTACTGAAGATATCATATTCTTTCTTGAACCACTTAAGATTCCATTCACATTAATTATTTCCTTTTGCAGAGTGATCTGCAAGATTATTATGCAAGAAGTTTACAATTCCTATTTGTCAGTAAATTCAAATGCGTGGTCTGTGCTCGGAAGCAATCGCACAATGACCTACTATTGCAAATGGTGATGTCACAAAGACTTAAACATTGAGTCTACACCATCCTCTCTTGTAATTCCCCACACAAAAAATACCAGAGGGTGGCAGGAATCGAGCTGTTGGCTGTCAGCTGTCCCAATGGCATTCACCATTTGGCTTTTCTCTGTCACTTTATATCTCGGTCTAGCGGTGTTCGGCAATTCCACGTGTTGATTGTTTTAAAGAATATTATAAGGGCTTTGACCTAATTCTCTATTTCACAGCTTAACCGTCATGAGTAACATTCGAGCCATTAATCACGACCAGAACCTCATTTATCTAGACTCCAGGAGGGAGCAGCATGGAGTTTTGCGACACTGGCCTCTGAAGAGTTAACGTAGGCCCCCACCCCCCCCCCCCCTTTATTTCTCATACATTCTCCACGCCCCGCCCCAGCGGGGTTAATTTTAACTCTCGCTGTAAATTAAGCTTGTAATCAGGTGGACATTGGAGGCTTATAGGTGTGAAGTGCAGCGTGGATGACGGTTATTGCGCAGTGAAAATTGCATTCACCGATTGCACACGTGGCCGTTCATGTATAAGTGTGTTTGACTTAGCTTCCAATTGAGTCTGTATAGTGCTTCGATGGGCGACTGCCGTGCACAAACAGATTGTCGTAGGTATCCGCATCACCTTGGAGCGCAGCAGACAGTGGTGTTGTGCAAAATCCATTGCTATACTGTACTGTACTTTTGTGCTGCTGCATCTCTGCTCCCACCTACACCAGCTCCCATTTACCCGGATGGTGAAGTGTGGTCAAATGACCCCCATGACCAGCATGGCATGGGTAGTCCCAGATCAAGCAGTAGATTGAAAAATGGACTCTGCATGAACATATATTCATGCTTGTGTGTGTGTTGTTCGATTGCTTTTTCTCGAAACAAAAAATTACTAGGTCGTTGGGTACATGACGGCAACACATTCAGAATTAATATTTTTATTATAACCTTTACCATTTCTATTAAACTAGCCTGCGGTGGTATATACTGGAGTGTGGCATGACGAGATCAAGGCTGGCACATTTGAAGTTACCCTTGGTGTTGCCATGTCGTTCGGAAGACTGCGGTCTATTGCTCCTTCGAGACGGTTTGCTGGTAGTGCATGTGCGTGTGCACGCGTGTTCTGCATTCGCGTGGTGCACTCGATCGGGGAAACCCGACCATCTCGGTTTTTGGCTGCAGCCCATCTGTTTTTGCTTGTCTTTGTGCAAGCTGGGTCAGCACCCCAGGGGTCGGAGTATGGTGCGCCTGCAATGTGCCATAATTTTTGCCGAGGGTGTGTGCAGTAGCGTAAGTTCTAGAGCATATGGGGGTGTTGGGGTTTGTCTTGGGTTGAGATTGTAAATAATGAATAATTTCATAAGCAAGGGTCACAAAGGGTCATGGGGTGGAAGCATGGAGGGGAGGGGAGGAGTTGTTGACAGGGTGCTATTAATCACTACCTTGTCTACCGTACACATTGGGAATATGGGGCTTAATTTGTACTGGCTGTTATCTTGGAGAGAACCATTACACACAACATACCTGCATCTGTGGTGAAGAAATACATAGCATTTTCTTCAGATGTGACATTTGGAATTGTATTGGTTATGTAGATTGGATGACTTTGGAGTGTGTTACAACATGGATAATTTAAGTCTCACATCCAGTGCCACACTGCAGTGCCCTTTACTCATTGACGATAGAATACGTTTATTGTGCTTTATGAACGCCATTCCTTGTCTAAATAGGATGGAGCTTTCTTCATCATCGATGCCATAATACACACAGGGAATTGGATGCACAACACATTTTAGAAACGTTATCATTGCCCTGTTAATTATTGCAAGCTTTGTAGCCGCTACTGAAGCAGCACAAATGCAATAAGTAACGCATTGAGCCCAAACAAAAGACAAATGAATAAGAAAATTGCACAAAAATAAGAAAACACTCTCATGATTCAATAAAATCCGTGTGAGATAGCAGTTAAGCCTCTTGCTAATCATCTGGCAGCGAGCCAAGAGACTGAATCGGCCTCTGTCCGTCTCCCGACCCCTTCCTTCACCTGTCAACCAAAAGAAAATAGGAGTATTCTTTTTTTACCCCGATTTGCGGTGGTTTTACAGGGGCACTAATAAAAGGAAATGCCAAGGGAAGTTGAGCCCTCTGTGGAGGAAGTCTTTATTTGTCGCTTGATGGCCTTTCAAGTTAACCACTCCCACCTACCCTTCTCAGCCTTTACCCACTACCTGCCCCATTCAGCTCCCACTCAGCATCGCCTTACCCCCCTCCCACGTGCACCATCTTCTCTCCCATTCTGTCGTCTACTTCTTTGTTGAAAGGCCAAATACAATGCTGTTCGTCTACAACGTTTTTGTTTGCACAATATATGCGTTTGTCCACACCGAGCCAGTTTGCGAATTACTGTAGTCTTATTTCACCTGTCAACTGGTGTTGCAGGGCGTCATTATGAAGCAAAGGGCACGTGAGGATTCGTCGTTTCTTAGATTAAATTTCGATTGCTCTGCTTAGTTTGATGCATGCATAAAAATAACCATGCATGTTAGAATGAGTAATTTTTGATTATGTACATCTAACGCAAAATAATTATTTAGGCTCATGGTCACAATAAATGGGACAGAATGACAAACGTGTATAAATGAGATGTACAAATGAAGCAGTGTAGAAGAGACAGTACAAACAAGAATCAGTGCACACAAGATATTATACACAAGACAGGTATGAATGATACAAACGTGAGTGAAGTGACATTACATATTTTCTTGGATTGAATCCTATACACAAATCATGACAATCAAATCGTAGGGGCAGATGGAGTGAATTGTTATTTGTCTACGCATCCAGTCTGCTGTGATAAGACAATTTATAATAATTTTACATTTCTTTGTCAATCCACTGTTAAATTTTGATTTAAAGCTTTCGTGACTGCAGTGATTCATATTCTTGGTTCTTTCGGTAAAGTCACGTTGAAGGGAAACAATAAAACAAATATATATTATTACTTTATATATATTATTATTTTATTGTTTCCCTTCAACGTGACTTTACCGAAAGAACCAAGAATATGAATCCACTGTTAGTTGAAGGCCTCCCATGGCATGGAGGTTGTCGGGGCGCGTTTGGTGAAGGGCTCGTCCACGAAATGTTATTAAATTAATCCTTTTCATTCTGTAGTATATGATGGTTATGGTTATCGTTGTGTAGATAGAATATTTATAAAGGTTCACACCTGGTAATTCTGTAATGTTTCCCCATTTTTATTTGTCTTGGTCACTTTTACGCTATGTACAGTCTTTAAAATAACGTACTATGTGTAATATTAAGGTATTTATTTTCGGAGATATTTATGCATAACTTGAAATGAGCAAGTGTAAATACATATTACAATTAACTCATAATGGAAGAAAAATGTTTTTTTAGTGTAGATGTCTCGGTGCTAAATATAAACACCAGTTTAGTACAATAGTGATGGTAGCTTTGGGTCATGGGGTTCTGCAAACAACCCAGCCAAGTGATGTCGCCTTAAGACGCCCACGCACCCCCACGCACCCACGCATTCACATTTGAACACGCACAATAGGCACGGATTGGAAACGCACCAACATATCCACACACCCCTCCCATTTGATGCACACACAGGCATGCATGTACAAATCACTTGGCAAGTATTTACTGGTTGTCAGTGGGGGGGGGGGGGAATGTGCGGGGGCAGGGATGCATGGTGAGGGAATGGAGAGAGAAAGAGAAGGAGAGAGAAAGAGGAGACGCATTGTCGGTCGTAATTTTGAAATCCTCATTTACGTGCCTCCCGGTGTACGTTGAGGCATCGCTGCCGACAGATTGACTCGGGCACTTGGTAGGGCTCTCGTTTATCACCCCGCTGCCCAGGGCTGAATTCTTCCATCATAAATTAATGTCTGGCTGGCATTTTATAAATTTATTTATTTATTCATTCACTCTGCATAAGTTGTGTAACTGACGGCATGCCTGCAGGGTGTCACGGCCAAAAACCATAGATGTCTTTAATATTTCGCTGTGTTTCTTGCTGTAGCTTATATTAATAAGTGGTTTCAGGAAGTGGGGGCTGGTGGTGTTTATGTTTATCCTTATGTGCTTTAGCTCCGGAAGGGATTACGTGTCAGAGTTTTATATATATCCAATAAACAATACTTTATATGCAGGACAGCAGACCCATTGGGTAACGTCTGGTTCTTGCATGTACACATCCAAGAATACATAGACCTTAAGTAGCTATGAGTGCTAGAGAAGTATAGCTGACCCAGCGGTGCAGTAATGAGTGCCTGGCTGTGTGGCAACAATTTCTCTATGCCAAGTGTTCTACAGTCTCTACCAAAATGAGCTGTGTTCCTGAATTGTCATAAAATAAGTCTTGTATTGTTTTGTAGATAAATATGAAAACACATTTAAAAACTGCAAGCTCTGAAAAAAAATCCCATTTTTGAAACTCATTATCTTGGCTTTGAGTAAGAAGGACATTTTGTGACACCAGGCTTTGGTTTCATTTTGTTGCTCTTTTTGACTGGATTCAAAAATAGGCTTGAGCGTTGATGGAAGTTTGTGACCTTTTTATCCTCCTCCACATGTGTGGTCTGTCGTTCATTTTCTTTGCATGAATCTTCTTTCCAAATCGCTGCTTTTCACGTAATGCCATTCTGTCCTTTGTGTCGTTAGTGCTGTCGCTCTTGCTACTTTTTTGTGTTTCGTTTCATTTCCCAAACCCTTTCAGCACTTAACCATTTTGTTGCCCGGGGTACAGCTTATAAATTAATAAACCTCTCGGCGGAACACTTCCTCGAGGGGAATAAGGAGGGGGTGTCATCGCCGCTGACGGCTAAGAGGGAGGGATGTGCACATTTTTGTCAGTGAAGAAGCGCATGGGAAGGATCGTCAAATGATGGCTGTCAGAATGAATATCCATCTGCAGATGCCATTAAACAGAGCAGGGGCTTATTAAAGAACTCTTAAATGTACGACACTCTTCAGAAATGTGAAGTTAGCTCGAATTTACCAGCAGAAATAATTTGGATGATTGCTTGCAGACCACTCGGGCACCATTCCGTATTGTTAACCTGGAGTTCTGGTGTTCTGAAATGCACTGGAAAGTTTTTCTTGAGAAGGTACAATGAGGCATCTTGCGTTTTGTGGCACAGGTATGAAAACTCTGTTTTGTCATTGCTTTTGAATGTGGAAGCGGAAATCTCCTCCCCCCCCCCACTTTCATTTTGCGAAGAACACGCTCGGTTTTCTCTGGGCCATGGAGAGTATTAAAGAAATGCACACCAGCGATTGCACCCGCTCCACCGCTCACACCGGTGGCACGGCACAAAGAGCCGCCTTTGTACTGAATAATTCACGACCCTATTAATGTCTAGAGGAAAAGCAATCCTTCCCGCGGCCCCAAAACCTCCACCGCTGCCTGTCTTGTTTTCCGCTGCAGAGCCGTGTCACGTTAATAAAAGATGATTTCCTGACTCCATGCACGGCATTGATATGGAAATTGCCTCTACATAATTCACCCGTCAGTGAAGGCATAATTGGCAGCGGTTAGTGTCGAAGTGGCAGGAAAGAAATTTTATATATATGTATTCCATGTTATGTATGTATGTTGAACTTCTTTCGCACCATATGTAGCCAACCATGCTAATCAGATGTGCGGGGAAAGGACAACAAACTAAACAGAACATGCAGTTCTAAATAAATGAGTTTTCAATCTAGATCGAAAACTTTATAGCTCCAGTGGTTTCCTAATATCGGAAGGGAGAGCGTTCCAGACAGCCGCAGAAACGCATCAGAAAGTGTGCGATGCATTGACCGTCCTTGTTCGATGGCTAGCCAAAAGCCGCTGCGAGGATAACTGGAGTTTGCGTGATGGTTTATGCTCCTTGACAAGGTCAGCAATTTATTGTGGTTCAATGAGCACTATCGTACACTGCATATGTCCTGCGAAACCTATGTGCAGGTACATCTCATGTGCTGCAGAAAGTTTTTTGCTCGTACATTTTTTTAAACGCATTTGTTGAAGAGATTTTGTACTGGCTCGTCATGGCAAGCTGTGCCTCTGGCTTGGTTTGTCAGCAACAGCTGTTTTGCACCATGTGTCAATTGCCAGCACAGTATGTTTGAGTCATTGTAATAACGGATTACTGCCTTCAAAGTTACTTGATCGGTACATATTCACATAATCGGTATGGGGTGGAGCGGTGGCACAGTGATTCGTTGAGTTTACATTAATGTAGATCTGAGGCAATGAAGTCGATTAATTAACAAAAAAATATAATCTATTACTTGAACCCATTTCAAAATGGCAGTCACCCCCACATCCTGCGTCCCGAAGGCAGGAAACCCCCTACAAGCCAAAGCTTAACGTGGCTGATGATGCCGATTATATCACCAAGCCCCACCCATCACCTCCCATCCATTGGCACACGTGAGAACGAGGTGAGACAAATTCGCTGTTTTTGTGATAGTCCATCAGTCGGGTAATCGGACCAATAATCTGTAGGGCAATGGAATATGTAAATAATGAGATATCCAGCTCTGCATTCATGGACACACGTCTGCCATTAAGATGGGGGCAAGCTTTGTGCACTGTCCTCAACACCTGCCTTCCTTGCCAATTTCTGCCAGGCGCATGTATCGCATCCTGGACGGATGCAAGCAGCTGACAGTGGCTCAGGGTGGAGCGGAGGAGTCGGCAGGAATGGTCACCATCCTGCTCGCCTGCCAACCCCAGGACACTCAGGCTCTCACACCGAACTTGCAGGTGAGTGTGGGAACTCAACACTGGGGTGGCGGCCTACCAGCCATGGTGACAATGCCATCATCAGTAACATGTGTAGAGCCGTTTATCCAGCATATTGCTGGTTGAAGGCCTGGCCCTCCCCATGCACTTCGTGGTTATTGGGTTAGAGGTGGGACTATACAGAGTTGTGTTGGTTGATTTATTGCTGCTGTGCACTGGTAGATCATTCACAGCAATGTACATTTGTCCTGCGGTGTCACAGTGTTCCTCAGCACACCATCACTAAACACTGCTGCACTCTAAACATGACTCCTTCCTACCTCCAATGAGGTCAATGCTGCTCTATCACTTTGGCTCACAAGTACATTGGCTAAATGGATGTAATTTTCAGCCATCCACTGCTCTGGATGAAGGACTTCCCCCACACTATGTGGGATATTTTACCTTATTTTGCCATTCTGGTCACTGCCATTTGGTGAAATTTTAGAGCATAGACATGGCATGTATAAGTACCATACAGCAGTGGATTTTTGTGCACTGCCCTTTGCTGCCCTTAACACAGCCTGTAACACCTGTTATGCATTGTGGTCATGCAATCTAGCGCGATCCAGGCTCATCCTTCATTTGCTTCCGAAATCTAATGAGATCAGGTGCATTCCAAGTGATTCGGTTATAATCGGCATGAGTAAACGTCAACAAAAAGATTAAAGCAACTATTTTTTTTAACACGATACATTTTATTATTTGTACTTTATCCTAAATTACATCCCAATTTTGCTCTCAGTTATCACTGAAGAACCCCAGCAGGGCTCATGCATGAGGCACTTCAGACCGGAGGGAACACACATTTTAATTTATTGAAAAACTTTTTTTTATGAATGTCAATCTTAGTGCCTGATAAATAGGACTTTAGGGATCTTACTATATAAATATATGAAACATGGGGATGCTACCTCTGTGTAATGGTTATCACACTGGACTTCGATCTCCTGCCACAGCGGTTGAAAAAGTGGCCAAGTTTCTTAAATCCTCCCCGCATCTGTCGACCCAGCAGTATAAAAGGGTACATCACAGTTAATCGATCGGGAGGTCGGTTGTGGTGGGGTATCGTGTAGATACTCCCAGCTCTTCCAAGCGGTCTGACAAGTGTGGTGGAAGTCGGCCAGAATATCCCCAAGAGGGGCTGTCCAGAGCTCCCTCAAATGGAAAGGCGTTTGCCAGCCGTGGATTGAGCAAGTAATTGCAGGGCTGCACCATTGCCTTTTACTAAGTGGAATGAGAATGGTTAAGTAAGGAAATAATGTTCATTGCTTTGGTAACTAGATTTTGTTGGTCGTTTTTTTAAAAATACATGTAAATTCACAGCCTGCTGTAAAACATACCATCTGTGTACATGTGTGACATAGCATGAGAACACTGTGTGCTGCTGATTTCCTCCCAAGACTCGCTACATTATCCACACACACAGCAACAAACCTGAAAGCAATATTCCATTGCTGTCTGCAACTGGACACGTTTGTATTCCTGCATTAGGGTGGTCTAATTTGTCTGTTAGTTTTCAGTATTCTTTCAGTCTAGTTTTGTAGCATCTGTTTTTTTATATTATTTTCCATCGCACAGATGTGCTTGACACTAAAATGTTGGTCTCTTTGTTCAATCAGACCTTCACTTGCGCAATTTACACTTAAGTGGGGCATCTCGGAAATGCATCTTTTGTGGATGTGGGTTTTTAGTTTTTTTATGGAGTGTCCATCCTTGCGATTTGCAGCTACTCTGTTGCCATGAACGCAGCACTTGGCTTTCTGTTTCTGTGCTTTAGCCCGAGACTGAGAGCGAGGCCTCAGAATCACATTGTGTTCCCCCTAATAGAATTCAATATTAATTTAAGTCAGCGGCTTGCGCACAAAATTTGAAATAGCTTCTCAAGTGACATGTTGAAAGCAGAGTCGTGCAAAAAGACACGTTGACCCAGGCATCAGAAAGAGAGTGCTTTTCATTTTCACACACTCATTCCGTGTCCACTCTGCGGAATTGGAAAGATGAGCATTGTGATGTGCACCCTTCCCTCCCCCACATTTCCCCACAAAAGCCTCCTCCCATCCTGACTGTATCCTAGATCATTTCTCTACTTGTATGTCAATCTACCGGTCTGGATGCAAATGGAGAGAGAGTAAAATGGGTTCGGCAGTTATGCAGACCTCACAACTACAAAGTGGCTATTCACTTCTCCCACACAGAACAATTTGAGTACATCAGCAGAAGCACAGAATAAAGTTTTGATGTATTGTCTGACGGTTTAATGCTTCTGTCCATGGTGCCGAGTGTAGTACCACAAAAGCAGCCACTTCATGAAAAGGAAGAAAAAGATTGAAATAAAAAATAAATGTTCAAAAACAACGAATGATACAATTGTCTTTGTATATATGAGAGAATATTGAAAATAATCACCATCTTGACCGCTCAAGTATGTGTACTAATTGCAAACAATTCCAAGCATTTGTTTTGGACGTATGATTTTAATACAAACTCATTAATCAGCATTAGCATTTCTCCATTGAGTCGATGTGTTCGATAGATTATTCACATGATAAGCCTTATGTCTCCATCAGGGTGAGATCCGGATAAGCAAGTAACCTCCAACTGAACGAAAAGACAAAACTAAACAGAAGCAGTAAATATGTACTTGGAAAAGTAAATCACTCTTGTGACTTACAGCGATCTTCATGGGTTATTTTGGAAATATTTTTTCGGTACTCTTTGGAGGAAACCTAGCCACGAGGGGACCCACTAAAATAGCACATGAATTCACTCTGCTTTACTCCTAAAGCCTTCTTAATGTCTGCTTTTTAATTAAAGGAATAATATCACAGTGGTCGTTTTTTTTGTGCCTATGATCAAAGCACCCAGAATGCACCTGATCTCAGCAGATTTTGGAAGCTGAGCAGAGTTGGCCCTGGATAATACATGGATGGGTATTGAGGAACCACTCTACATGCCAGGTCGTCACAGGCATTGGCGGGGCTGTGCGACATAGTCGTCAGCAGAGGGCAGAGCAGCAAAATCCATGTATCCATTTGTTGTCCTGTACTTCTTGGCTCCCATGTCTATGCATGCGATGGGGAGGTGGGGGACAGCTCTCATCCAACAGTATTTTGACAATATACCTGTACACATAGATAGCTTTCTTTCACAATGGGAGTAGCTGGAGACATTATGCCACGTATGCAACCATATTTCTGCATTCACCAGCTCACCTTATATAAAAGCATCAGCCTGGGATATTGTGGGCTACGAATGGATTTGACTCTAGCCGTACCATCATTGTATGGTCAGTGGGTATAAGCGTTGTATGGCACTTTGCAGAATAAGCTATTTGGACGCTGCCTCCACTTGTGCACCAGTATCCGTGTCTGGTGATCAGCAGGGAAACCCAGCGTCGTTGAAATAGTGGCACTTGTGCCACTGGGTCAGCATCTTGTAGCAGCCGAGAGGGCACACTCCCCACTCTCGCCCTTGCTGGATTTTCACAGCTCTGGTTTCACAAGTTTCTCTTAGTGCCCCATGCCTGCTTCTGGCTTTGCAGCTTCTTTTAAAGTGTTGTCAAAACCATTACAAGTGTGTTGTTATTGGCTTTTAGAGCTCCATTTAAAGGCACTTATCAGTCAATTACAAGCAAGTATTCTGAAAATAGGGACACTTTTTCAGAACAGACAGAACGATGCTCACGCGCACGAGCAACTTCTCTCTCTGGCCCACCGAGACTGCAGGCGTGCTGTTAAGTGAAACTGAAATTCGTTATTACAGACAATTATAATTTACTAATATAGAGTACCAAGCTCATTTAATCTCAGTGAATCAATTTGCAGAATATATTTTAACTACATTAAAATAGAAACTTCACTCAAACGTTCTTACAACCGAAGTTTATATTGTTATCTCTGTAATTGTTTTTTTAAGAGGTTCCTGTCAGGTTTTTGCAGTAGGGGGTGATATCTATATCTTAGGTGAGGAATTTGAGGCTAACTTTTCAGATTTGGTAAATTTAAACCATGACGCCGGTACTCGATAAGCCTACTCTTGCGAACACGTTAGGAGATCTTTAACATCCACTGTAAAGCAGGTGGTGCGTAGTATTTATATGATTAATACACTCACAGTATTAACTAGGCGAGCTGCTGGATTCGAACCGGGAACCCCTGCAACAAGCAATGAATATGCAACCACCAAGCCATGTCTCCGCCCTAAGGTAATATTTAGCCTTTCCTTCTTTGTTCAGTTGCACCTTATGGCGGGACCCCGGGGTCCCAAATAAACGGAAGTAAAAAAGCGGCATTTATTTATTTATGGCGACTCCGTCCCACCACGCACATAAACGCCACAACCCACCTCGCACGGATCGTTCTGTTGTCGTGTCGTCCAAGCTGCAGTGAGGACGAATGCGCAGAAGAGCTGAACAAGCGAATGCCCTCCATGCTCGGGTATGGGCAGGATCACAACAAGTCTTATCCAAAGCTGCTCAAACTGCCTACACGACTTAAGTCCTTTATTTGTCATAACGGTATGCATAATACAGTGAAACCGCTCTCTTATCTTCATTATTATTTGTGACCTACCAATGTCTGCAGCCAGGATCAATCGATGAGAATCCTATTACCTGCAGATATTTAACAGATGAGATGCGTTGCACCGTTAATTTGATAATACATCTCTTGTCCGTATGCATCTGTGCAGATATGTTTTTTTGCAGTTAAGCCATCGTCCCCACATACCGCTCGTATCGATGCGGATAAGAGGAGCGGTGACCCACTACTCTGTAGAGTAACATTGGTATAAACGCTTGTTACAATATCAACAGCGCATTGAAATCGTGTACTATTTTATGTACTGTTTACAAAGTGTGTTCACAAATCCACACTAGAAAAACACGATGATTGACAGAGGGGTGTAAATTATTTTTTAGATAGTGTATTTAAATAGAGGTACTGCAGGTAAGTAGTTTTCAGTTTTAAAGGCATAGTTTAACAAGACAACACTTGCCACCATCCTTCAAACCCATTGGTGAAAAAGAGCAAAGTTTTGTTTACATTATATAATGTTTACATTATATAGAATATATAATATGTTTATGCAAGAGCCGGGGGCTTATGGGACCCCGGGGTCCCGCCATAAGGTTAAGTTAACAAATTAACACAAAAGAGTATTATCATGAATTATCCAAAATATGTCCTAAGCCTAACAGATCTTGTTTGGGATGCCAAGTTTTCAGGTGCTCCAATAATCCCATAAGCTTGCATGCCACAAGTCACACCTGCATAAAGCCACAAGGACGTTTGGCTGTATAGAGGTATAATTAGTGTTTGGACAAATGATTATTCGGATAACCATTCGGTGGTATTTGTAGAACAATGAGGATCGTGAATTGAGTTAACCAGAATGGTTGGAATGACTTTTTCACTTTACACTGAAAGGGTTTTTCAGGCAGGCACCCAGGGAGTATTTGTGAGTCATCGCTCTCCACATTGTGTGCCCTTAGTCTGGGTGTCCTGTTCATGTGAAAACAAAAGTGGTTTTGCATCTAAACAAAACTGATGGCCCAGGTATTGGTCTGACACAAAACAGGTCACTTGACACAAACAATAGAAGGACACCCCAAGGTCTTTTGTGATGTTATTGCTTGACTTGCCTTTTGTCTTGCATGGCAACTTGACGAGTCACTCCTAATCATTACAATACCTGTGCACTGTGTGTGCACTGTATGCATATATCTTGATCAATATAATAATCTACAGACTAGATGTCTGCAGTAATTGTGGATGAGGAGTTAGTGGATCACATATGGATAGTGGTGATATTTGTGAGACATCTGCACGCCTACAAGGTGATGTAGTGCGATTCATGGGTAGTAGAACAAGTAGGTTAGCTGATCATTTTTTTGGGTCTTCTCCCCATACATGCATGGGATTTTGCTTGGGTATAGCTGAACTGGATCCCCAGGAAAGATTTAAAATCATTGCTTTTTTTTACGAAATTGTAAAAGTGAGTGTCATGGACACCTTTGGTGCCCTTCTAGTCAAGTCGTATGCGTGAGGGCTTTCGTTAAAACAAGCATGCTGCTACTAATGCGTCACGCTTATTTAGCACCACTGTTCATAGAGAAGCACACATTATTGCAGTTGCTTGTGTATTTATGCACATAGCAAACCTGAGGTATATTGGCTGCATATGACGTAGTGTTTACATGTCTGTGTTTTTGGACTCGACAATGCCCCTGCAGCTCCTCTGCTGAACGGACATATCTTGTACGTGCATATTTTTTTTAACTAGTCCAGCAATTTGCATCATTCAAGCCTCACTGCCTGGTTTATCCTGCTGCTGCCGCTGTGCCTGTTGACAATGACATGTTTATGTTGTACTTTAGCCAAGCAGGGTATTACATGCATGGGTGGCTTTTGTTGAAGTAGGGAGGGATTATATAAAAATAGTTGGTAATGCTAGGGTTAAGTGACCCATCTGGCCATACCACTCCCTGCCCTAACCCTGGCCATCCCCCTTTCCCTCCCATCTCACCCTGCCCTGCCTCCCAGGGACTACACTGTTTGCTAATTCAGGCAAAATGGTTACTGGGGTCGGGGAAGTGGCCGCAGGCATCTCTCACGCCACGGTTCACTTGTTCTGTCCCATTTCTGGTGGGTGGGGGGGATGCCGAGTGACGGAGAGATGTGATGTTGATAATGGCACAATGATGACGCTGTTCTCTTTTTTTGAGCAAGGACTCTCTGTGAGCTGCAGGGTCCTGGCCTGGCTTGTCGCAGTTTGTGAGAGAGATGGACAGGGCCGTGGCTCAATTTATAAGTGGCCAAGCCCATTTTCTCATTGTGCGTTTCATACGTTAAACTTAACAGGTTATATGTTCACCCTTGAATTTTGTATTGTTATTACATATGCAAATATCTCCTCCCAAGATCATACTGAAATTTACAATATAACCATTAAATAATATTTTGTATGTGGAAGAGGCATATATAATAAAGCATGCCAAAATATACGATAAGGCACCATATATTGATACGTATCTTCTTATACTGGCGAAGCTACAAAACAACTACAATGAAGGTGCAGAAGAGTTTGCTATTATTGACAAAAACGTTTAAGTGCTTGAATTTTAATGTGCACTTTATAGGGACAGAAACGTGCACTCTGCATGTGGCGGTGGTTTTATTAATTGTTGAATTTTTCCTTCGAGTGTGAAATATCCATACCCCTGCATTACGGTGGCACGTGTTGTGACATTATCGTTGTGAGACATGGAAATGAGCCATGCGCAAGCCGCCCAAGCCTGCCGTTTGACACAAAGGCATTTCACGCTTAAATATTAACCAGCGTTCTCCATGTCCCATGCCATGTTCCGAGTGGCCTTTATACCTCATTAGGCCGCTGTACCTGGGTGTTTGCCGGTGGGGTAGTGGAGTTGGGGGAAGGGGGATGGGTCCATTGGGAGAGGGGAGACATGAGTTTCTCTCAGCAAGGGAAAAAAAAACCTCAAAAAGCTGACAACTTTAAAGAGCTGTCAGCTGTATAGTTTTGTTACCATTTGTCCCAGTATAGAGTTCTGTTTTTTTGTCTTCTTTTATAGAAGAACTGCTCTGACCAAATAAATGTTTTATGTAAAACACCCACACACTTTTCCTCAGAGTGATCAGTAGTCAGTCGGTGATTACTTTCCATGCAACCTGGAAGCCAAAAAATGGTTTTCACAGTTTTTGCGATTTATTTTGGTATTGTATTTAAAATTCAATGCATTTATAATGAAGCAATACAAATTTCAGAAGTATAAAAGTATCGTACCTCAATTTTTGAAAAAAAGTGTTCGTCTTTACTGTTTAAAAAAAAAACAGATTTGTTTTAGCAAAGCCTTTAAGCAATAATGCTATTAAAAATATTTTTCTATCGGTACTCTCACTGCTTGTAATTAAAAAGCAATGGATTTATTCTGTTTTAGCATTTTTTGGCTATTCTCAGAAGACCAATTAGTACATTGTTTTCAAAAATTGTTTAATTTGAAACTAAACACATAAATGCTGACCGTGTTATAAATATATAATCTCATATAAACTGACTGCAAAAATGCAGTAAAATGATCAGGAAGAGAATTGCATCTGTTAAAAACATAATTACAAAAACTCTTCAACCAATAATTATTACAACTACTACAATGGCCTTTACATTTATGCACAATGCATTATAATCATCTGTAATTCCATTGTCTTCAGTCATAAACTGGGTTCACATTCAGTTCAGCTAACTTACATGCATAAGAATCATACATTCCCCAATATAGATCTGCAAAACCCCTACATTTGTTACATTATAATTATTTGTTTGCTTATTGTTTGTTATTTGTCTTTACATTATCTCAAAGCGGTGTGAAATATTAATCTATTTAATTAAATGTGTGGCCTAGGTGTGGGCAGTAGAGGGAAGTGCCCAAAAGTCCATGTTGTACTGTATGCCTAATGCTCTGACCAGTAAGCGCCACACCTTTACCAACCCACGTGATGAATTGTGGTAAAATAACCCCCAAGACCTGCACGGCATGGGGAGGCCCTTATCCAACAATGGATTCACAACAGTGCTGGACATGTATAATGATTGCGGTATCCTTATTTGGTGTGGCGGTGTAACCAATGCTGACTTTGCTTTCCCCTTTGCCCTCTAGGATGCTATCCGGGAGGCTCAGGAGAGTGGGATTCACGTGCGGAACGTGCAGGATTTTTACCGACAGTGGCGAGAATTGGGCTGAGCAGTGGTGGTGAGGAGCACCTATGGAGAGACGACATGCTGCCCCAGAGGGTGGCAACCTTTTGGGGATGGCAGTAGCAGCAGTAAGATGAGAAAAAAACAAAAAAAAAGATCAGACACCCACCAGCTGCCTGATTTCCCTGTCCGGTGGATGTCGCCGCTGTGTTTGTTAGAGGGGAACAGGGAAGGGGGGGCACTTTGTGGGCTGGGAGGTTTGTTGGGGCTGGGTGGGGAGTCGGGTGGTGCATGATGGGGTTTGCCAGGTGGGAAAGCCAGGGCCATGGTGACCGGCATACACAGAAAGCTGCCAATCCTGTCAGCGCCACACCACAGACCAGCTGCACGTGACTCTTGTCAGGGAGCCTCTACAGCCGGTCGATAAAATGGCACTGTGGAAAGATGCTTGACCCAACGATAACTTCCCAAAGTACTTTCCCTTGAAAAATGTCATGTCCCCGCTAAGTTTCTGAAGCATAGCAAAATGTGATGAAATGCTATGCTTCATTGACGTGGTGTGTTGTTATTTCTCATTCCTTATTGGTTTGAGGGTGCATTATCTAAAGCCACACAACACGCTATTGAGCCACACGGAAAGCCATGCCAAATTGGACTGAGCTGTCCGAAGTAACAGCACCATTGATTTGGCCACTTTACAGTTTGTCCACATTTATGGACACCTCAGTTTGATTTGGGCGACATCTTTAAAAATGTATGTTTTAACACATCTGAGAAGGACATCAAGAATACATTGGTATAAGTTTAAACCTCTTTTGGTTTGGCACTTTCTTTTTCTGTGACCACAATTTAATCGCTTCACTTTTTGAATAGCTAATTGTGTCAGTTGTCGATGCAAGAGAATGTCAATGCCATTTGTCCCAGTGTCGTGTGTGTGTGCACACACATTGGATCATTGCAAAAAAATAAAAACCACCGCTACCTTGGTACCATTAAAGCCAACGCACACGAACCACCAGCGTGGCCACTGTGCATACAACCATCGGTGTTTTGAGGCAGGGTGCATGCATAGCACTTACCAACACCACACTCATGGATTTTTAAAGCCTGCCCTTATTACAAAAGAGATTTAGTGAGGACGTTGTACGTACGTGAGAGTGTATATGTGTGTGCTAAATATAAATATTCTTTCTTTTTCAATCATAGGCAACGGCAGTGGCCACACTCGCGCAACTGCTTGTTGCACCTGATTCGTGTCACACAGTAAACAATGTTCCTGTCATTTACTTTGTGCGCGTGCACCTGGTTTAAATTGTGTCATTTTCTTGCTCTAATTTACCAATTTAGCTCCTTCGTTTTAACTTATACAGTAGTGTCACCGTTATGTGTAACATGCTGTAACAACCGAGCTGAAAAATAAAGAGCAAAACAAAAATCGCCCGTACAACCTGTGCCTTTGTTGTAAGTAATGCACCTGAAAAAGAGAACTGGTTGCCAAAGCGTACGTATGACAAGCACGTTCGTCACACACTTCGATCTACTTACACGCTCTCCAGATTTCCACATCTACTAGCACTTGCTATCGTGTGGCCAGATATTCTAATTATTTAATGTGTTCCCCACTAAATTGGTTCTGCGCAGATTGCAATGGTTCAACGGGGCGAATCCCATTTCCACAAAGCGACGCTGCAGGCCATTACCAAAGAGCCCCCCCCCCCCCCCCCGCTAAGTAGACATTAAATGGTGTGACGTCATTTTCTGTTGTGTGCCATTATCATGGCTTAAATTAATCATAACCACAGTTCTCTGCCAGATTGTGGTGGTTTTGTTTTGCGTGGATGCTGACACCTGCTCATGTTACCTTATTTAACTGCCACATTTGTGCCTCTTGGTGTATGAAAGCACATTATATCAGTGTGTACGTGTCGAACATCCTTGAATTATGCACTGCGTATGTAAAAATCCTAATCCATGGCTTTCAATTGACAGCTGCGTATGGGTGAATACTTTGCCCAATGAGGCGTGACATAGTTGAGTTGGCATGGGCCATGATGCAAAGAATGAAATGGGTTCCCAAGTACCATTTCCCACCTCTTCGTAACCCTGCACCTGAACTCTAGCCTGGTTGCCCCCGTGCAGTTTCAAAAACTGCACCCTCGATAGCTGTGCCGTTGCTGAGAAAAAAAAAACAACTCGGATTGATCGTGAAAAGCATACATGAAATTTGTGAACTGGTGCAGGCACATGGCAGGTAACGTGTTTTAAAAAACGTGGGTCCGGATGTGGAGATGTTGGTTTTCTCACCTGATCTACTCCCACAGGTCCCCTGCACCACTCACCTGTGTCCCTTTGGACTGGGGGCAGGTGTGCTAGCAACCTCTGCCACCCACAAAGCTGCTCAGGGACGTGTTAATTGCATTGGTCGTGTCGAGCACAAGTCTTCATTTACCCAGATCCCATGCACCCGCTCAACTCTCCAATCGGCTGCAATGCACGCACGTGTGCAGCCACACACACACACGTACTTGTGTAAAAGCCATTGCGCGCGTGCCAGCTAAACCCCCTTGATCATTCCCGAGCTCTTGACGCCTCATTATTTTTTTAGAGGTGTACTGGGAATAAGCAGTGATCCATGTCAACTGGGAGACCAGAAGAAAACGCCTCGGTGTACCAGGTACAATTTCTAGGGGCGCGTGCGTTCACGCCATGGTGAAGCCGCTTGCCGAATTTTGGAAGCAACAACCACAATCGTGGGTGGGAACAGCTGGTCCAGGAACTGTCAGTAAAGACTAAAAGCTCGACTGCAAATAATTAGCTGCCCTGGCACACTGCAGCGACTGGTTTAAAAGGTGGGGCTATATACAGTGCTGTTTTCGCTGATTTTTGCCTTGCACTGGTAGGTGATACACAGGGACCTACAATTGGTTTGCGCAGACTTCTCAGCACGCCATCATTAAACACTGGTACACTCCATAAACACTGGTACACTCCATAAACACGACCCCTTGCTGCTTCCATGGGATCAACACTGCTATATCACATGTGGCCACATGTACAGTGCTAAATGTCCATAATCACAATAATAACTAATGGCATTTATATTCTTTGGGTCTTTTGGTAAAGTCGCGTTAGATAGGTTCAAAGAAAATAACAGAAAACTACGACGTTTCGATCGCAACGCAATCGGTCGTCATCAGGAGGAGAAAAAAAGAGAGGAAAGCTGCAGAGGCAGACTGTTTTAAAGGTCTGAAATTGGTGTAGCCCAAGGGTCATAAACGAAGTAGGCGGGGCTATTGATGTTAATGTCAGATCGGAGGACGACCTCCACGACGAGCGCGCAGAGGTGGCTATGTTAAAATTAGTTGACGTGAGTAAATTAATTGAAAATATTAATTGCAATGTCTCTGCAGTATATATTTCATAGTGTAACATTTCTATCATACATGCATCACATTTTGCTTTGAAAACAAATTATTTATTCATTCCAACAACACTGGCCCAATTTGGCTCCAACTGTGCTCAAGGCTGGTGGTGACTGCACATCAATAAAGAATATAAGATATCAAACGAATAAAGGACCATGCATCACAAGGCTATGCAGAAGGGAATTTGACTTGATTGCTATTGTGTTGTTGGTGTCAACAGGTAATTGGTGTGATTCATCAAGGGATTTATGATTCCTTCGTATGCTAAGTGATACCAGTTTCCTCTCTCGATTATGCTTACACGACAATAACGCTCATCCAAGCATCGCTAAGCTCTTCTGTAATCGCTCTGGTGTCCATTACGGACTTTTTGAGAAGTGGCAGCGAAGCTTTGAAGTGGGGAAATGGAATAGCCCAGAGAGTTGTAACAACGTTTGCAGGTCAGAGTGGCTGATATCAACACCGAACTGAGCAATTCATTGATTCTGTCTCGTTTGAACTGCCAGACACACTGTTTATTTTCGGGGGCGTCCCCGCTTCTATCTCGTGTTGCTGCTGGCTGCCGCCTGCCGCCATCCTTGACTCAGTGGTGGCATTGAAATGGGAAGCCCAGCCTGCTCCCGAGTCTTTCGGCACCGTGCCGGTCCATCTATTTCTCAGGTTTGTTTGGTCACCTTCGTGGTGCCGATTAAGCATGCAATAAGTAGCCGGACATGGCAGCTTCTTGACTCAGCCACAGTAGCCTTACCTACCCGAGGTACCATTTTGTGCTACGCTGAAGCAAATTCACCAAGATACAAATGTGATAACCACCATAATTATCTACCCACACAAAACCAACCAAAATCTCCCACTTTGCTATAAGCATGTGACATTATAGGTTGATGTGGCCAGCACTGCACATCCAGAAATCTGTCTACCCGGTGATGATATTCACAACGAATAGGCTCGAATGTGTTGGTGAATTAGATATGAGTGTTTATAATAAGGCTTTGCTCAGATATCAATTGCCATTGCTGTACGTTGTCAATTTATCAGCATGCTAAATACGCTGGTAATGGTGCATTGATCAATTGATTTAAACTGATCTGCATCATTATGCACAAAATCATCAATTATGTTCGATTCGTATGTTTTGTGTCATCGGTTCACATAAACCATAGGTCATTACGAGGTTCCAAGTTCACCGCAATGGCAAAATAATGTATTATTGGAATATAATCGATCCACCAAATCATGGCAATTGAATAGTGAAGGGAAGGGGAGGTGAAATTGTAACATGCACATTGTTAAACCTCTTCACCAACCAAATACTCCCCACACACGTTTCGATTTAAAGCTTTCGTGACTGCAGGGATTCATATTATTGGTTCTTTCGGTAAAGTCACGTAGAAGGGAAATAATAAAATAATAAAAAATAAAACATAAAATAAAATTCTCACGACGTTTCGGCCACAACGCAAGCAGCCGTCCTCAGGTGAAGAAAAAGAGCTATCGGAAAAACAGCGTCTTTAACCATGTCGTTTTTCTTGGGAAGCCCCACCACCAAAGTCCAACTCTCCACAACAACCAGTGTCAACCATCCCACACGCACACAGCACGCGCAGGCCATTGCCAAGTGCTGGGCGAATTGAAAATTATACTACACTCGTACTCGTGGCTGGTTGGTTGCAAGTACGAGGGTAGTGGATTCACAGGGGTAGTGCACGTGGCTGCTTGGCTAGGGCCCGTGAGAACTAGTACTGTGTAGCTAGTTAGCCTTGGGATGGGAATCTATAGGTCTCGTGGATAGTTGGCTATCTCGCCAGGAATATTTCGAGAAAGCGTTTTTTGTTGTTGGCTAGGGCGCTCCGCCCCCCCAAAACCGCTGGTCCAGCCTCCCTCCCACCACGTGGTCTTTTTGTAATTTTGTTTTCCTGGTTTTATGGCGTTTTTCTTCTCCTTCTTCTCGTAAGCGTTTCGTCCCCCCCCCCCCAGCACGCTCCACGCTGGTTATTAATGGGGTGCGTTGTGCCGCATCTAATGTGCGAATGTGGGGGGCGGGGGGGGAGCTGCCTCCCTCCCCCGCCCCTCCCGCTCGGCGTATTGTAATGAGAGCCAGGCTCTGCTACTTAATCGATATCAATCAACCTTGTGCATTACTGCACTAACACCCCTCCTCCCTTCTCCCCACCCCCCAGAATTATCGCATCACCTCCAACCCACTCCTTTCTCACTCCCGCCCCCCCTACATCCTCATTCCCCATCCTCACTCCGAAAAGCTGCCGCTGTGAATCCCCCACTGTGCTGTGTGTGGAGCTGAGGTTTGTGATTGGAGGCTCTGGGCTGTGCGCGCTAACTAGGCAGCCCCCTCCCCCACTCACCCCCGTCTTCACTCGCGCTAATTGATTCGTTTTGAGTGCCTTTGTTATAGCCTACGTCTGTTAAGCAGTCGACTGCCCCGAATACTTGGTGAGGACTGCTCTGGCCGCTTCTTAGGGCAACAATCCAACAATGATGACATGCAGCGGTGTCCATTTCAGGATCGCTCTTTCAACAAGCAGACCGAGTGACGTGGTCGTGTTGTGGCGACCTCACAGTTCACGAAGTGTTGGAGCGTGTGCATGTGTTTATGTACAGCTGTGTGTGCATGTGTTTATGTACAGCTGTGTGTGCATGTGTTTATGTATAGCTGTGTGCATGTGTTTATGTACAGCTGTGTGTGGATGTGTTTATGTACAGCTGTGTGTGCATGTGTTTATGTACAGCTGTGTGTGGATGTGTTTATGTACAGCTGTGTGCATGTGTTTATGTACAGCTGTGTGTGCATGTGTTTATGTACAGCTGTGTGCATGTGTTTATGTACAGCTGTGTGTGGATGTGTTTATGTACAGCTGTGTGCATGTGTTTATGTACAGCTGTGTGCATGTGTTTATGTACAGCTGTGTGCATGTGTTTATGTACAGCTGTGTGTGGATGTGTTTATGTACAGCTGTGTGCATGTGTTTATGTACAGCTGTGTGTGGATGTGTTTATGTAC